GGCCGCTTAAGTTACCCTTGACTCAAGGGTAGTTTAAGAAAGATGCTGCTCTCGGAAAATCCAACGTTACCTCTCCGCCTCCAGACTGATTTATAAAAGGAGCACGGCATAGACCAAGGTTGCTCTTTCATCGTTGGCATTAACTTTCCAGCAAAATTTGGTTAATAGAGTCTTTAAGGAGAAATGTTGTATTTTCACCAGTGTGACATTATACGTGTTTAAGGGATGCATTGAAAACCACTCTGCTAAAATTGTAGAAGGTGTCAATTTAACAAACCTAAGCATATAATGCTGCTTTTCCTATTGCACATGCAGTCCGTCAGTTATATACCAGTTACGCACCATTGTAGGTTTTTTCCAAAGTAAGAAAGAACTTTTGGATTCTTACCTGCACGAGCACATGCAATGACTCAGTCATAAATGCCGGAGAGCTTTGCCTCAGAAACATTAGAAGTGTGTTTTCCTCAGAGCGTGGTCATGAGAGTTCAGAGTTGGAGCCCATTCTGCAAATGGGCTGATGAATAGTCTCTGGCTCCTCCGCAGAGCCCCATTAATTCTGGGGCTGGTTTCTGTTTCTGCTGTATTGGCTCAAGTGAAACACATACATACTTAACAGCAGTTAAATTACTCTGGCATGAAATAGCATAGAACGGGCAAAGCGCTGAAGGGCTGAGCTCACCAGTTGTTCCAGCAGGTCTCATCAGGTTGGGTTTAATACAAACACAACACTCGCAGAACTCTGCTCTGTGCATGACGCTTCCATTTGCATTAGCTGGCTGTCCATCTTCACAATGTCCAGCATGGCAGGTGAAAGCTACTTTTATAGTTTTCATTTGAAAAGTGAAAGGAAGTCAGAAGCAAACACAAAGTCACCAAAGGCCCCAGAAAGAATCAGAAGAAGGACAAAGGTTAGAGCTCCAGAACACCACCAGCTGCCCTCTGTTCACTTCTACTGAGCACAACTTAAAAAACATAACTGGAAATTTCTTTTTCAGAATATTACTTGCCTTTTGAAGACAGACTATAGTAATGACATTAAAACTGTACAGAAACTTGTGCGATAACATCATTTTCCACTTTAATGAGTAGTTTTAAAATTAAATTTATAGATAAGTATTTTAAAACTACTTTCCAGAGACTGTTTCCTTGTCTCTGTATTTCACAAAGGTAAGTAGCTTATTAGTTGCTGATCAACGATATGTCATTAAAAAAACCCCAAAACAACAAAACACAGTCCAGACATTTTCAGTCTTGATTAAAATGTCAGTTGCTGTAAAACACATTAATTTCTCCCTGCTTTCTGCTCCTGTTCATTATAGGTAGGACTGCGGAAAAGCCATGCTAACCATAAGGAAGAGGGGACCTGTTTTATAGGGAATAAGAGACCGTTAACACAGAACCACTCCCAGACTAAGTGCCTTCAAAGTGTCCTGAAGGAAGTGGAACTTATGCGGAGCTCCAGGGATGGGCAAATTGAAGAAGCAATTAGGTTCAATCAAGAGTTGGAAAGAGAGCTGAAGAGCTCTCAGGAAGCTCTGGTCAGTCTGGAAGACTGCAACCGTAACCTGAAGAGGGAACAAGCAGAAATGAGGAAGAAGGTTGAAGAGGCGAGACACGCTGTCCTTAGCAGTCTTGGCAAAGTGAAAGAGCTAGAAGTGAAAGCTAACAAAGTGCCACATCTGCAAATATACATTCAGCAGCTAGAATCGGAACTGCAGCGCTATAGGTAAGTCTGAGTCCATCAAAAAATGCCTATAAAATCACAGTATTGGAACACAAGTTAGCTTGAAAATAACTGGTTGTAGTTTACTAAATGTCTCCAAATACCTCTTCTAAAATATAGCCAGAGGGAAATTAGAAGCTACTTATCAATGTTCTTGGTAGGGATCCATAATAGAACTGGGCACGTTCAGTGGAAGGTAGGCCAAAATAAGGATGCTGCTCTACAGAGAGCTGAAGTTACTCCTCAAACACGCAGCAATAGGACTCAACGTAGTAGTGCTTCAAGAAAGCCTCAAAAGAAATTGCTGACAGTCCTTCAGAATCCATTTCCAACACACTTATTTTTTCACCTTAACTAGCTAATATCAATTCAGTCATTTCCTGCTAGTTAGGTCACACATAAAGCCAGCTGTAATCAGATGGCTGACACTCCATTTCTTATGAAAGCTCTTCAGCTCATCATAGGAATTGGAGAAAAACACACAAGGCCAACTTCTGGCCAGCAGTTTTAAACTCTGATGTGACTTTATTGCTTCTTCACTGACAGAACATGTAATACTCCGGAAGGGAAAAGTCAAAACACTTTCTTAAACCCACACAATAATATAGTGGGAGTCTCAAACAAAAAATACATCATCCAACCAAACCCCACTTTTGTAATAGCATAATATGTTCCCAAAAGTCAGAAAGTTGGTCGTGAATTTAATAGTTCACTGCTTTTGTTGCTTTTTATCTCAGACAAAACTTGGACTCACCAATGGTTATTAAGTGCTAGGCATTTCTGCCCAAGTTTCAAATTGACCTATGGTATAAAATCTTGTTTATACTTTTAATGACCCAAGTAAAGCCAATATTTATATATTTTTTTCTAACTGTACTAAACCTAGTATTTTAATATATTGTCTATTCTGAACTCCTTGTCTCTTCCTAAACTTACACTTCCTCTGTTTGCTTATAAGAAGAATTCAGTGAGTTATTTGTAGCATCATAGCTATTGTGCTGTTTTATGAAGTGAGGAAATTCTAAAAATAATCATTTTATCCAGTGTCTTTCTGTAAGCGTTGTGTATGTTAATACCTGCATGGTTGCAAAAGATAAAAGTATTTCTTTAAACATCTATAGGATTTTAAAAACACTGTGAGGGCAAATAATGGCCAAGATGACTGTCACTTACGGGGATATCTGGATGAATGATACAACTGTTAGTGCTAACAGAGATCATACTACTCATCTAGTCTATCAAGTTCTCCCTGGCACGAGCACCAAAGACTTAAGATGAGTTCTTGCCCTGCAGAATTGCTTTTCCAAAGTATGGTGAAGGATAAAAAATTGCCTTTAAACAGGTAGAGATGAACTCACGAAAGACAATAAGAAATGTCAACTGGGCCTTGCAGAGCAGAAGCTTTTATGGGTTACATCAAAACAAATAGTGTGAGTTTAAAAAGGTAAAGTATATGTTCTTTGCAAGATAATCTTAATCTGTATTGTTTATTTTTAAATTGCATGCTGATTTAAAGTAAGTGTAAATCTCAGGAACGGTGCTAGACTGACCATTTGGAAGCTACACCCCTATTTTAGCCCCATGGCACATTTAGGACAGGACCAGGCCGGTTTCCACATACAAGACTTGGGTCTTTTTTAATTTATTGGATCTTGATTCTGTGCTGGCCATAAAGCACTTCCATCTCCCTGTCCATGTAATACAGCTCTTGGCTTAAACAGTTTAACAGCAGAGCCACTTAGTGATGATTGTGACTTACATGCCTGTGGTCATATTCCACAGTTCTGCAGTATATGGAATACCATAATTCCACATATGCCACAGTGTGGCACAGAGATGCCCAAACTGGCAGAAAATAGGTTACTCAAGCAGTGCAGAGCTCCGCATTACCATGATGAAAGAGCTTAACACTAGCATGGCTATCTCTACCCTATTTAGCATCATAGCTTGTCCCACTCAGTTTACTTGCTTACACTTGTACTACAGATGGCGGAAACTCCTTCTGCTCATAGAGAATCATCTTCTCCTGTTGCGTAGAAGTCGAAAACCCATGGGTGTAGTTTGGGTCAGGTGCTAGGAGTGCACGTTGAGGGGAAGCTGATGAGTTGGCCAAAGCATAGGGATGGAGGGACAGCTGCTATATCCCGCAGATTTCTCAGACTGTCAATTGGCAAGTGTATTACTTGTAATGTTATTTAAGTCAGTATGTATTTAGGTTAGTACTCCAGTGAGCAGTTTTCTCCATTTCTGAGTACCACAAAAAGTTTGTGAGCAGGTAAGCAGGACCTAGGTTTGGCAAGAACTATTGCTGCAAGGTAGCAGTGGAGAGAAGTGGGTGCGGATTTGAGTATACTGCAGAAAGCATTTGAGACTGCAGATATGTCTCCTGAGGATCCACCTTAACTGGCTTGGTATGCCACTCTCTTACTCCAGCTAAAGTCTAATTTCTTCCAGAGAGGATCATATTCAAGAATGAGACCAGCCTATGAACTTTACACACTGCTCCTATTTATACTTTCATATTTATAAAGAAAATTACTAGTTCTTTTAGGTTCAGGTTTTCAAAGCTCTTTAAGCATCTAAATCCCACTTCTAGACCTTCATCTTATACCAGCTTGCTATCATTTAGACCTAGAATCACAACAATGAACTTAAATTAGAATCCCTAACTTGGGAAACAACATAGTTTGCATCTATGCAGGAAAGTGTTTAAGTACCTGCAAGTGATTAAATATTTTCCTAAATTGGGGTACCTAATTACAATTGCCTTTTCTGCCCACAGATTCATATTCCTGCAAATTTAATGCAAAATGTTGCTATCAACATCTCTGGTCAATGTTTGCTAACTGAAGTTTGTGTGACTTAAACATGAACTTCTTCTGAGTACACAGGTTCCTGGTTTGAAGTTTCCCTATCACATTACTAGATTCCTAAGCCAACCTAGTTGACCAAGTAGTTCATAGATATTTCTTGTCTTAAGGTGCACATCCTATTCTTCCTACAGTGGATGCGTGTGTCAGGTTTTTGTCCCCTTTCTCCACCATTAGAAATCTGTACTGTTTTTCATTTTTTATTTCTTAATCCCTGTCAATTTAATGAGTCAGCTCAGATACTTTAAAGGTAAATCTCAAGAAATTCCTTACTGAAAAGCATGAGTTAAATTCATTTCAGAGGAAAAAGACATCACAAGAAATTGTATGGTTAACATTGGTATCATATAAAAACCACATAATTCACAATGTTAGTATACGGAAGAGTTTAAGAAGTTATGCAAATCCCATTTTTTATACAGTACTGCCCAGAGAGTTACTCTCATTTTGTACTGGTGTGCTTGATTTCATTCTCCCAGGTATAGGACTTTTCATTTTTATTACTGAAGCTCAACTTTTCCATTTTTAGCCTACTCTTCCAGTTTCTCAAGATGATATCGGGACTAACCTCCAAATTGCTGTCATCATACCCTCCCAGCTTGTTGTCAATTGCACATTTGCGATTTCTCTTTCAAAAGTTGGAAGCATAAATGAACATACTGGCTAGGTCCCAGGACAGATTCTGGTGACCTCCACTTGATATACTCTCTTTATCTGAGAGCAAATGATTAACAGCTATTCCCTAAACTCCTTTTTTTCTCAGTAAGGTTTGCTCCAGCTCAAGGCGACACCATCTATGTATTCTAATATAGTCTTACGATTTAAGTATTGTTTGTAAGAATGCCAAACATAAAAATGTTACTACAATAAAAATGTCACATCTACTGCTTCTTTTTATCCATTCAGCCATTTGCCCTGTCAGAAAAGGAAATTAAATTGGTCTGACATGAATTGTTCTTGCCAAATATAAGTTGGCTCTGTTCTCTATACCACATTGTAGGTGCCTTAGAAATTGATTACTTAATAAAGGTTACAGATTCTTTTTCTCTTTAATAGCATTGGAGGGAATAACAGAATTTAACAACCTTTTTTTCAATCCCAGTGTAACAAATAAAAAGAAAGGTCATTTAGAATTGAAATAGACTTCATAACGGAGATCTTCACAGAGGTTTTACATTGCTGTGTTAGCCAGCAGCACAGTAATTACATAGGTCAGTGGAAGGGGTCATAAAATACCAAAAATGCTTCCCATATGCATGGTCTGTCTCCCAAATTACTTAATTATCCATCAGCATTTATATGTGTTAATGAGTAGGAATCCTTTTTGCATGGAATGCAGAGAGGCTTGTTTCATCCCTTCCTATTCTCTTATAAATACAAAGGTGGAGACCTCTAGCATAATTTCCTCTATTTATTTCTTTCATAAAGTCACCACTGTTAATTTTTCTAAGAAGTTCTGCTTTAGGTTATCCTATATCAGAAGTAGTTCAATTTGTCTTTTCTTTTAGAAGACAGTGTCCAGAACTTTTCTACAGAGTAAATGATAAGCTGAGAAATTATTGACTATAAAAAGATGGACCAAACAGATCCAAATCAATAATCCAAGAACAGGAGAGGAATATGGAAATATTCCTAACTAATACAGAATCAGCTCTGTTAAGTGAAGAAAGAAAAGCCCTGGAAAGGAAACACTAATCCACAAAAGAAGGTATAGATAGTAGGTTATTTCCAATCTGAATGATAATGCATGTTTTATATTTAGGTGTTCTAGAACTGTTCTTCTATTTAAAAAATAGACTTTAAATAAAGAAAATCTGGATAACTTTCTGCTTGACTACTGTCATCAATACCAACTACTTGCTGGTTGTAAGGTGAGGCGCATCTTGGCAATTTATTTCAGATGGCACAAAATTTGAATGGAGACTGTGGCTATATATGTGCTGGACTACACGAAAGACTGGACAGAACCACAGATAAGTGTGTCCTTGGCCAGGAGCAATGACAGGCAGGGAGCAGTGACTGCTGGCAGTCAGTACAAACGATGACAGTCAGGGAACTGAGCTCATGGAGAGTAAAATAAAATGTAAAATGTTACTTTGCAAAGCCTCATCTGTAAGAGCACTCAGGCAGGCT